TATAATCATGCATACATACAATTCATGTCATGCATATACGTATAATCATATATTCATGCATTCTAACATAGGAAATAGACTTTTCACAAGTCTTGTTTCCATTTAGCACCATAAACGAATTAATATGCACTCACCTTGGCCTCACTAAGTTCCAATCCATTTTTATAATTTCCTCTCTTGCGATCGAATCATAACTTGATAATCGTTCCGGGACTTGTTTGTGCTCGATATCTATATAATCATACATTGATACATATTAGTATCCAATTGATATACTCTAATCTATCATTTCTTAGACCAAAAGAAAGGTTTATTTCTATTTCCCCTTGAAGTGCATCGATGCATTCCACAGTGTATCGATGCATCTCTTAACATGTGCATCGATGCACTCCTTATGCATCGATGCACTCCTTATGCATCGATGCACTAGTTGCATTCAATGTTTCCATTTTTTAAGGGGTGCATCGATGCACTTCCTGTGCATCGATACACAATGAACAATTTCTGGAAATTTACCCTTGATGCATCGGTACACATTGAATGTGCATCTATGCACATAGCCCAGAAATCCAATTTATGCCCGAAAATCCCCTCTTTTCAGCTTAATTACATCATATATCATCCCCTTTCTTATTCTTACCTTACTTACTCATATTCAAACTCATTTATATTTCATTTATCTCGTCTTAAACCTTGATATCCTCTCCTCTTTATTAACTTCAAGAATCATACCAGATTTTCAACATGTTTTAAAACTCATTTTATCACTTCACATCTCTTAATTTAACCCTTGACAAGTCAAATTCAACTTCAAAATCTATTAACTCCTTCTATTTCACTAATTCAGTTAAAAATTCTTCATATTTAATCCTTCATAACTCATCCATTTTGAAGTTTCAACAAGTTTTAATCTTTAAATAATCTTTCTTAGCACCCCAAGAATCAAAACTAAGCTTAAAACTCAAGAATTAACCAACTGAAATTAAGTTTACCTTTGCCATGGAGCTTACGGGAAGAGAATAGGAAGGAGACAACCCAAGCTCTAGACTTTTCTTTTTCTTTCTCACTCTTTCCACGTGTTTTATAAGCTCAAAAGAAATATAAAAATCTTTCTGGTCAAATTACCATTTTACCCTTTAATTCATTCAATAATTACCAAATAACATTCATCATATATTTCCAATAAAACATTAAACTATTTAACTATTCTACTTTTATCACCAAATTTCACAAATTCTCATTTTAGTCACTGACCCGAATTTCGGGATGTTACAGGAAGCATTCAAGTGGAAGTTGTAGAGTGTTACCAAGACGTTAATATCAAATTTCAGTAATGCATAAGCGGTCCAAACAATTCAATTCAAGAAGTTAAAAAGTGACAAATAGAATGGCATGTACTTGACGCTTTCTTAATCACCATACGCTGCCAAAACATAACACAACATTATGAGATAGGTACATATATATATATATATATATATATATTAACAATAAAAAAATTATACGAGATAGATACAAATAAAATTTTAAAATGAACACTAAATGAACATTTAACCTAGAGTAAATTAAAAACACGTACCATAACTGTCAATGGTGAAAAATACATTGAGTTCGATTACAAGATATATCACGATCCTTTTCTGCAAACAAAATGATAAGCAAGTAAACATTTACTTTATTGATATTTGAAAGACATAATCATGAAATTACTATTAACGTTTGCATAAATGATCACTTTGAATGACATGGCATAGGTCATATCATCACTTTGAGTGGCGTAGCAATCTCACATAAACAATTAAGCACATGTGAAAAATAGCATGTTAGCAACACGGGTTGACCGTTAGTAAACTAATGATTTCTTTCTAACATTGAGTATTTTGATCAAAAATTAAAACGATAGGTGTTAAAATGCTCTAAAAAATAAAAATCGAGACAATACAAATATTGTGGGGTAAATTTTTCATTATGCCTACTTAAAACACGATCAAAGTGAATGAAAAGCATGGGAAATGGTGAAAGAAAGAATACTAACTCGTTTCCGATTGTCGGAGTGGATGAAGAAGATGGTAATGAAGACGAGCTCAATGAAGAGACCAAATCCATTGATGGTAATGATCAAAGTGCTGTCGGGATGGACAATGGGGAGACCATAAAAAACCCACATCATGCAGTTCAACACTTTTGCTATATATGGAGCTGGCTTGAAGTCTTGCACTGATTTCACTTTGCATATTTTAACGAACGTAGGGCTACTCGTCAAAAAAAAAGAATAAAATTAGCAGGAAGTAATCAAAAGTTAAATGAATCAGCTTGGTAGGTAGGGGGCCTACATGGGGGAGACAAAAAAGAAGAAGGAGATGATATTTCCAGAATAAAAAGAAATAACGTGCTAAAAGTTAGACATTTTAAATAAAAAACATATATATAATATCTATTTGAACTAATAACATATACATATAGTAGTTTTTAGACACGGTTATTGCTGCTAAACTGCTACAACTGTGGATCGAGAGAAACTCTGACTTTCCATATATAGAAAAAATGGAGAGCAAAGATCGGTCTTACGCTGTTTATGTCGAACTAAAAGTATTTTGGGTAAAGTACACAAATGATCCTCCAAATATAGGGTTTTATTTTGTTGAGTCCTCCAAATATAGGGTGTTACTTTGTTGAGTCCCAAACTACAAAGTTATAAAATGATCCACGACTATAAGGCGCTACTTTGTTGAGTCCTCCGACTATTTAAATTATAAAATAATTACTCGACTATCCATATGATCCAAACTCTTCCTTTTCCATTGAAAAAAAAATGGCGGTCGTCTGAGCTGAATGTTAACTTGCTCATTGGGATATGATAAAAATATGATCCCAAAACGTTTGAAGTGTATTTTGTAGATCGAGTCTTTGTTTACATTATGTCATCGAGTCAGAGCTTGAAACATTATGATGTCTCGACAGTGCTTGAAAGCAACGGTTATGTCGGTAGGCATTATTAAAATATAATTTTATCATATCCCGATCATCATATTAATATCTAGCTCATATGGCTATTAAATTTTTAATCGAAAATGATGAGTTTGGAACATATGAATAGTCGGGTGACTATTTTAGAACTTTTAATAGTCGAGAGACTCAACAAATCAACTCAGACCATTTTTGTAACTTTTTATAGTTGAGGACTCAACAAAACAACATCATATAGTCGAGGGATCATTTGTGTACTTTACCAAGTTTTTTTTCATGCAACTAATTTTAGTTCGTTCCATGTAACCAAAGCATCAGTCCGCCGAGGATGGCGGTGAGTTGTCTTTGTTTGGACGTAATAACTAATAGCTAAAATACTAAATAAAACTTCAACCACTTTGCTAATTACAATTAAGCCTTTTGTTTTCATCTTATCCGAGGATACTATTATCTTTGACAAAATATACTTTACACTGGACTATGGTCTTTCACTTACAAACATATGGTTAATATGAGTGAGTGATTCATATTCTAAAAGATTTTCTGAAGAGTTTATTATTGAGTTTTGAGGTAGTTGGGAGAAGCATTTAATGTTATTTGACTATAATAATAGTTATTAGTTGAATAATTAAATGGGATCATATATATGAAACATTGTATGGTAATAAGTTTTTAGACTTCATCGTATTGAACTGAGTTGGGCTAGAACAAAATTATGGGTTTGGAGTTGGTTTAGGAGACTAAAGAAAAGAGAAGCATTTAATGTTATTTGACTAATAATAGTATTAGTTGAATAATTAAATGGGATCATATATGAAACATTGTATGGTAATAAGTTTTTAGACTTCATCGTATTGAACTGAGTTGGGCTAGAACAAAATTATGGGTTTGGAGTTGGTTTAGGAGACTAAAGAAAAGAATAGATTGATTCAGAATTAACTAAAAGCGGTTTCTGATTGCTAAAATTTGTATATATCAATTTGAAAAAGAAAAATTGTTGAGTACAACGTAGGAGATCAAGTATTTCTTAGATATCTTTAGGGGCATGGGACCCGAAACCGATAAGTTCCGATCTGGTTGGATTTTTTTTAAAATTCAGGTTTGGGTCGGGTCGGGTTGTTTAAAGGTGATATTCAGGTCGGGTCGAATTCGCCTTTAGGATGAAAAATATCTGATCAAACCCTACTTGAAAAAAAATATAATTTTACCTTATATATTTAAAAATAATTAGAATAAAATCCCTCTATATATTGTTTTTTTCAATTAAATCATTATTTTTATTGAATAAAAATAATATTTTATTATTATTTTAGGTCGAATCGGATTAGGTTCGAATTTTATCTTAAAAAATTAGGTCGGGTATCGGATCGGATTGACTGAAACCTGACTCATGCCCATCCTTAGGTATCTTTTATGGAAGAAGGTTTTAAGTTTTGTTTAGAAGGGAAAGTTAAGCTTAAAAATAGTATTACATTTAAAATACTCAATTTTTTTTAAAATTAATTAAAAAACAACTTAAATCCTTAAAAATCCCTAAAATTTCTAACTGTAATCTTATTTTCTTCCTTGTCAGCCACCACCACCGATGTCGTCTTTGTTATTTCCCTTATCGTCACCCTTGCCATTGCACTTGCCGTAGGGTTTCTTGAGTGTCGTGATTTTTCAAAGTTTGATTTGTCAGATTCATCGTTTTGTTCATTGGGGACGTCGAATTTCTGGGTTATGGGTCGTCAGGTTCATCTTCCTGTTTAATTTGAGATTTTTTTTTTATTTAGTCCAAAAAATCAAAAATAGGAGGAGATGAAGTTGAGAGATTTCAGCATCAAAAATCGAGAATGTATTTCTTTGCACCGTTTGGCTCAATGAAACGTGGCTCATTTTCTTTTAAGTTTTTATTTATTTTGTGATGTACTGGAATACGGATTTTATTTTATGAGAATACTGATTTATTGAAATATAAAAGGAGTTCCAGAATCATTAAAGCTTTTTTGAGATTGAAAAGGGAGGAAATTGTAAACAATGGCTCAAACAAGGCACAATCAGCTAATTTGATATCTATATTTCAGAGAAACATAAACCCAGTTTCTGCATTTTTAAGTTCTCACCAGAGGGACATCCAAGCATAGAGTTATAGCTCATTAGTTCATTCTTTTTCACTGAAAAGAAAATCGAATCGAACAGGAGTTCGGCAGAGCGGAGTGATGAACGAAGACGGTGAAAGTAAAGTCCATCTTAGTTCTTCCCAGTGTTATTCTCAAGTTCCCTCCTCAGTTGTAGTGAGAAGTCATCGGTGACATCGTCATCATCCCAATCATCCTCCCACTGCTGTGTCACCTCCTTTCCTTCTTTGTCCTCCCACTCTGAAAGGAAAGAAACAAGTTCAGACTGCAATGCTCTTAAGATACAACGTGCTAAAAAAGATCCAAAAGGAAAGTATGATATGATTTTAAGTTTGGGGGGGGGGACAGAAACTAAAAACAGATCCATCTCCCGATACTGGCAATAGGGGGCAAGAAATTAATGAAACAAATACCGCTATCAACAGGTAGTTCAGAAAAGAAACAGACAATACATTCCAGAAGAACAAACAATGATCTTAGGGCAGCCAAATCACTATGCGTAATTAAGATATATTACATGAACATTAATTATCATCACAGCACACAACCATGTAACCAGTGCAGGCATCAGATTTCGGACTAGTCAAGATAGTTTGGGATTTGATGAAAGAGAGTGTTTTTATACCTAACTGGAAACAATAAATATATTTCTCAATAATAAGCAAATTTCAATGTCAGGCTAACGGAAAGATACAATGGCTATAAGGTTGCATCAAAAAATCTTGTGAACTGCAAATGCTATTATTAAGATGAAAATACGACAGTTCAGCTCAGGGCTGGTTAAGAAAATTATTAGTCAATTGTGGCAGACACAGAGAGAAGCTTTTTGTTCTGACTGCATAAATAATTCCATAAATCCATAAATCAAGAATCGGTTGTGCAGGTTTCAAACAAGAATTTATCAGAAGATCTCAAGCTGGACCTAGTATATCATGGTTATCCAGACACAAAACTGGGAGTTTAATTCCATAAACAAGCATTTGAATGATCCTAGTAGCGAACATTAATTGAGCTCAGGCAGCTTATATGTATCATATATGTATCATCAGGGACAAACGCAGGAATTTTTTTTTTGGGAGGGCAGAAATAAATTACAAAATTTTGGTGTTAAAATATATTTTTTTTCATTGGTTTACTTTATAATTTTTAGAAGTGGTTAAATTGAACTTTTATCATTCATGGAGGACAGAGTACAATTTTACTATTGCAGGACCTTAAAACTTTAAACTTTTATCATTGATCGAATAATACAGATTGAGTATTGCGGAGGCAAAAGCATCCCTCTCAAACCAGTTTTCTCTATTCGAAAACATCAAGATTCAAACTCCGAAATCTAATATTTCATCCCACTAGACCAACTGGTTGGTTGGTGATAGTTTATAATCCTACTTTCACAAAAGTATAGGAGAATGTGAAAGGATCAAGCAATCTACATCAATTCTTCATAATATTTGGGGGAAACTACACATTTAGTACCAAACTATCACTTTTGTACCGTTTTAATCACTTAACTATTATTTTTCTCAAAATCATACCGACAGATACATTTTGGTTTCATTTTGACATTACCTTCATCATTGAAAAAAAATATTCTGTTAATTTTTTAAATTAAACCCAGATTTTCTTGTTCCTTTAAAAAAAAGTTAAAAATTACCTTCATTGATCTCAAATTCTTCAAACTCATCATCATCTTCAAACAAATCTACCTTTAAGTCTTCAGTTGCCGATTTTGGTTGTTTGGTTGCCATTTCTTCTCGCTGGAAACAGAAAACTAATATTAATAATAAACCCTAATTTTGTTAAGGTACTGAAAATGAAGAATTACCGTTAGAAGAAAATTGATTGTCATAAAATTACAAATATTGACAAAAGATAAAGAAATTTAACTTACGAATCGCAATTGCACGTAGACTAGAGATTTCTTGAAGAAGGGTTTTAGTATTCTGAAAAGCCTGAATCCAGATAAAGCATAAATATATACATACGTGTTGAGATGGAACGCATTAAATGACTATTCTACCCATTTTACTTTATTTTAAGCATTTTTAAGGGTAAAGTGTTAAAATGGTCCTTCAACTATATGGCATTATTTTATTAAACCTTCCGACTATTAAAAGTTACAAATTCATCCAAGACTATATGATGTATTTTGTTGAGTCTCTCTACTATTTAAAATTACAAAATGGTCATTTTCTATTAAAAACTTGACAATCATTTGAACTGGACGTTAACATACTGATTGAGATATGATAAAAATTATATTTTAATGATGTCTACTGGCATCGTCGTTGCTTTCAAGTATTGACTTGACGGCATAATGTTTTAAGCACTTGCTCGCCGTTATAATATAAACAGTGAGTTGTTATATAAAATACAACTCAAACGGTTTTGCGATTAGATTTTATCATATTCTAGTCAATAAGTTAAAATCCAGCTCAGATGATCGTCAATTTTTTAACGAAAAAAATGAGTTCGGAACATATGAATAGTCGGATGACCATTTTGTAACTTTTAATAGTCGGTGGACTCAACAAAGTAACTTACAGTCGGGAGATTATTTTTATACTTTACATTTTTATTAATATAGGATAATTATAAGGTAATATATATTCGAAAAACTCAATTATTTGACAATGAACATTCAAATATTCTTGTAGATTACGTGCTTAAACTCAAAACTTTTAGTGATAACAATCGTATTTTTAGCGAGCAGCTTAATTCGTACTATTTTAAATATATATTTTGAATTGGAATGATATCACCAACTTAAATCACATCAAATTAAAACATACACTTTGAAAATATACATTAAAAATAAAATAAATAATTTACATAAATAAGTTTATTTTGTAAAAAGAAAAAATATCAAACAATTTTTTTTGGTAAGGAAAAAATATCAAACAATTATAAGTATAAATGGAGTGGTAAAATTTTTATATGTAAAATATTTTAGTTATGTGTACGAACTATTTTCGAATAGTAGAAATTTTAAAAAATAAATAAATTAAAACTAATCACTCTAAAAATTAAAGAGTTTATCAACGTCACAAATTATAAGACATTAATTTTTTTAGTAATGCGGAGTAATTATAAAATAGTAGTATTCATTTAAAATACTCTTAATTAATTAATAATGAATGTATATATATCTTATAATTAATTGACAATGAACATATATATATCCTATAGATGTGCTTAAACCTGAGGTCTCTAAAGAGAATAAAATTTATTTTAATTGTCTGAAGTGATTACAATGTAGTATTTATCCATAATATTTTTAACCGTTAACAAACACTCTATAGCTACTCGAACCCAAAACATTCTAAAAAAAATAACATTCTCTTTAATCACCGATATTGCTCGATATGTTTTAAATTTAGAAGAGGATTAGCAATGGATCAACCGAACAAAATGTTTTATCATCATTGGCAATCAATAATTACAGAGATCTTAACTTGTACCACTCAAAGCAGCAGATCCATGCTCCTTTTAAGAGATTTTATTATACAAATAACATCACAAAAAAGGGACTTCTTCTATTCTTTTTCTCTTTAATGGATCCTATAATGCATTATCTTCAATTATAAACACATAAATCCATGCATATCAAACCTTAATCCCCCTCGCCATTTAAGATGTGGGTTGGCATCAAAGAAGGGTTTCCAATGATCTGGCTTTCCGGCTCCAAACTCGACCTGCTTCTTTTAGTAGTTCAGCTAACCTTTTCCTCCCGTCACAAACCTCCGGATTCGCAGTCCCGAGCTTCTCCTCTCTCATCACAACGACATACTCCAATATTTCAATCGCATCATCCAACCTGTGAACGACAATTAGGGATGGCAACGGGCCGGGTTCGGGCCGGGTATTGGTCCCCCATCCCCGTCCCCGTTTAAAAAACCGGTACCCGTCCCCGTTTAAAAAACTGCGGGGATTTAAACGGGGATCCACGTCGGGTAATCGGGGAAAACCGCAGGGAAACAGGTATTCTCGTTTAGCATAAACGGTTATTTAAACGGGTATTGGGCCGGGTATTGGGTCGGTATTGGGCTGGGAATCGGGCCGGGTATATATATATATATATATATATATATATATTTAAATTAAATATATATTTTTTATTTAAATTAAATATATATTTTTATTTAAATTAAATTTATTAATATTATATATATATATAAATAATTATTTTTAATATTTATAGGGGCGGGTATCGGGGCGGGTAATCGGGTAATCGAGGCAGGGATTACCAAACCCGTCCCCGTTTAAAATAAATGGATTTTCCCCGTCCCCGTCCCCGTCCCCGTTTATCATCCCCTAACCCGACCCGTTTAATTCGGTTTTCGGTTTTCCCCGTCGGGTTCGGGTTTTTTTGCCATCCCTAACGACAATCACCGTATCGGATGAGACTGAGACGAAAGGAACAGATAAATATTCTAATTAAATTTTTTGACTCAACTTAATTCGAGAAAATGCAATTAAATAATTTAATTGTTGATAAATAATATTCTAATTATTATAATCAATAAAATAAGCGATTTAGTTATAACTGAGAATTTAATGTTTATTATAAACTTAATTATAAAATGATCTATTTATTATAATCAATACATAAAATAACTCTTTCCAAATTACTTTGGTTCCCACTTCCTAACGGAGATTACATGTGTTTGTCGCTGGAGAATATCGGTTAAACGATTTATGGGCTATTATAAACGATTTAGATCTTTATTCAATATAAATGTTTAAAATATTTTTAATTCAAAATAAGTATTTAATGTTTTTCTTCTGCTATTATTTTAATTATTTGACCGTTAAAAATTATTAAAAAATCTGTTAAAAATCATTAACCAATCAGTGTTTGACATGTGATTAATTTTTTTTATTTTCTTTGATTTTTTTAAAATAACATTTATAAATTTTCAAAAAAGAAACTTTATTTTTTTTATTTTACACAAAATACGCTAAAATTCATAAAAATCTTAATTTCTATATTTCTAAAATCATGATTCTTTTATTAAATTTAAAGATTTGAGAGATAATAAAAAGATGATTGATAATGAAAATACGACAAAAATATATATGAGTGATGATAATAATAACGATAATAATAGCCAATAACCAAATGAACCCAACAAGCACTAAGCCTGATTTATCCACAAACTCTACCACTTTTCAGCAGAATAAGTGTTGATGATTACTTCAAAAATGAGGAAATCAATATAAAATAAACGTTAAAAACTATAAGGATATTAAATGGGATTTAAGGACTATGGATTGGTTATTGTGGCTGTAATGGTTTTCGATAGAAGGAATGAAGGTAGGTATTGTAATATTTTAATTCGATCCATCTTGAATTTAAAATATTAAAGTGTTATACAAAATCGCTAAAATGATTAACTATTTTTTTAAAAATATTTATCCTACGATTAACTGTAATCATAATAATTGATAATTTCTTCATTTTTTTTTATCGGTGATGATACCAATTTTAATTTTGGTTATCGACAGTCGGAATTTTTTTATTATTTTATTTTCTTGTATTACATCTTTATTTTTTTAAATATGACACATTTTCATATGCCTTTATAATATGTTTTCTTCTGCCTTATGACATGTTTTCCAGTCGTTTGATCGTTGCGTTCACTTATCTTTTTCTAATGGTTGATTAGACATCATCACAACTGATGAAGATTGCGCATATCTGTTATATTGTAATCTTCGTTGTTTTGGACTTTCAGATTGTATTTGGATACATGTTATGCGTTTGTGAATAACTTTTTACATCGCTTGATTTGCAGTTTGTCGGTGGTATTTCATTAGCTTGATCCCCTTTTGTGGTTCATTTGTCAATGTGATCAGATATGTTTGTATCTATCTTTATTCGGATTTTCTTGGTTAGATTTTAATCTTTCCTTGTATGGTCCTTATGTGATCTTAAGTTGCTAGTTTTGTTTCAATGATTATAGGAAATTGTCCTAATTATGTGCTTAATATATGATTATGATTGTAAATCTTTATTGTAGGATATTTTCTATTTTAGATCAATCAATGATTTCTAAAAAAAATTGTAATCATAATACTCATAAATAAATCCATAAGTTTTACAACCATAATAATGAGTTTACAAAAGGGGGACTTCCAATAATACAATCTCAAAATATAGTACCAGTATATCAAAATAGAGTTACGACTATCAACAATTAATTAGTCTAGTTGGATGAGGTACTAGATTCCTTAAGTAAGGTTAGGGGTTCAAACTATTGCGTTTGCGATTGGAGCAAATTGGGTTGGGAGAGTCTCCATAAGCTCTGCAATACCTGATCTGAATTAGTCGGTCAATAGATAGAGTTATGGCTCAAATATAAATAAGTTCAGTGAGTAATACATGCCCTCTAATAATATTGAAGACGTACTCTGATAGTTTGATTAATATAAAATCTCGAATTCAACAATAAACTCCTCAAACATCGTACATAAGTAACTTGGATATCTTCATCATTTTTCAAATGTCAAGCTAAGACATAAATCTTATGAAGTCTTACCCCATAATATTCTTATCTTTATTTACCCATTTAATAATGTTTTCATTTTTAAACTTTTAATAGTATCCCCTTTAAGGATATCGGTACCACCATTGGTATTAATAATAATTTAACTTTCAAAGTTGGATAAAATGTTCCAGTATTAAAACTCTCGTCAGGAAAATCAATATTATCTTACTAGTATCGATACTTATCTTGAGTATCAATACTAATTTGAGTCGCGATGTTTTAGAAAAATAACCTAGTATCGATATTACTCTTCAAGAGTATCAATACTCCTATGGTTATCTATATTTGCCTTAAGTACCAATATCATTTTAACCCATAAATTTGAAAATAAATCTTAATATCCATACTACTATCCTTAATATCGATACCTGAAGAATAATAATTATACCCTATGAGTAGAGTATCAACATTATATGGTTAAAACCCTTAAATTTGTCTCTCACATAAGCAGTATCGATACTAGTTCTTCTCATATACAATTTTATTAATTAGGTGAAAACATATATAAAAATCTTTATTATATTGTATCTATTTTCATCTAAAAAAACATTGGTTTTGCCATATTCTCTTTATTTTCATTTTTGGAAATTTGAATTCAAGAAAATATAAAAAGATACATAATTTTAAAAGTAATTGAATCGCCAAAGAACATTATACTTCAAAAAAAATGTCGGTAAATACATTTAAATGATATAATGTTTTATAATATCGAACTAAATTAATAAATGAAAGGATGTAGAATGCCATAGAGAAATCTCCATATAACATAAAGTCGGACAGAAACAGTTTATTCCGCTCCATTGTAATCCCAGGGAAATGTTCACGTGCGACGTTTAATATACAGTTAAAAAAATGATACCGATTTTATTATTGTTGTGTATAATAAAACTGGTAAAAATTATCAAAAATATCATTATTTCTACTGGTTTTGTTATTATTTTGACATTTTACCGGGTTTCTTAATAAAATCGGTAAAAGCGCTACCGATTTTGTTATTGTTGTGCATAATAAAACCGATAAAAATTACCAAAAACATTATTATTTCTACCGATTTTGTTATTATTTTGATATTTTATCGGGTTTCTTAACAAAATCGGTAAAAGCGCTACCGGTTTTATTATTTTTTTTACTGATTTCGTTATTGTTGGGCATTTTACCAGAAATGTTAAAAAACATTGATGTTTTAGGTAATTTTTACCTGTTTTTTTATGCCCAGCAATAACAAAGTAAAAATAGAGTTTTTTTAACGAAAAAAAATTAGTAAACACAAAGATTTGTTTCCAACATTTTGTCCAGAATGATTCTCAAACATAAAGTTTCTAAAAAAGTATCGATACATTTATTGTAAATATCGATAATCAAAACATCAAAGCCAATTATTATAAAGTAATAGGTAAAATACACTGGTTTAATGAGAGAATAGGTAACATATGTGTCGATACATTTTTTAAAAGTATCGACCCCAAAAACATTGAAATCGATAATTAAAATGTAATAGGTAAATTTACAATGTAACCGGTATAAATATATCAGTTTTATGATAGAATATGTCAACATAATGTATCGACACAAATTTAAAAAGTGTCGATACATTTTGTCCAGAATGAATGTCAAATGAGGTGCACACATAAAGTGTCGATACATTTATTAAAAGTATCGATCCCAAAAACATCGAAACCGATAATTACAATGTAATATGTAAATTTATAATGTATCTTGTAGAAATATTTTGGTTTTATGAGAAAATAAGTCTACATAATGTATCGACACGTTTTAAGTTTGTGTCGATACTTTTTTCCAGAATGAATGCCAAACGAGGTGCACGCATAAAGTGTCGATACATTTATTAAAAGTATCGATCCTAAAAACATCGAAACCGATAATTACAATGTAATAGGTAAACTTACAATGTACCCGGTATAAATATATTGATTTTATGAGAAAATAAGTATATATAATGTATCGACACGTTTTAAGTTTGTGTCGATACTTTTTTTCAGAATGTATGCCCAACGAGGTGCACGCATAAAGTGTCGATACATTTATTACAAGTATCGATCCCAAAAACATCGAAACCGATAATTACAATGTACGCGGTAAAAATATACCGGTTTTATGAGAAAATAGGTCTACATAATGTATTGACACGTTTTAAGTTTGTATCGATACTTTTTTCCAGAATATATGCCCAACGAGGTGCACACATAAAGTGTCGATACATTTATTAAAATTATCGATCCCAAAAACATCGAAACCGATAATTACAATGTAATAATTAAATTTACAATGTACCCGGTAGAAATATTCCGGTTTTATAAGAAAATATGTCTACATAATATATCGAAACGTTTTAAGTTTGTGTCAATACTTTTTTCCATAATGTATGCCAAACGAGGTGCACGCATAAAGTGTCGATACATTCAAAATTGTATCGATCCAAAAAACATTGAAACCGATAATTATAATATAATAGGTAAATTTGCAATATTACCGGTATAAATATACCGATTTAGTTAAAAAAAATAAGTCAATATAAGCACTACATATTACATTATATAAACATTTCCTAATATATTATACTAGATAATATTTCCAGTTAAATGTCTATTTTATTATATAAACACTACCTAATATGTTATTGTACTTGATAATATTTTCGGTTAAATGTCTATTTTATTATATAAACGCTACCTATTACATTATATAAATACTACCTAATATGTTATTGTACTTAATAATATTTTCGGTTAAATGATATAACATAACCGGTGTAAATTTTAACCGGTCACTTATTTAACCAATCACGTCGTTTTTTAACCGTTTTTTAAACGCCACTCAGTAGAACTTACCCTAATTATAAGAAACAAAGTAATATGAAAAACAACATTTAAAATGTATCGAATACGTAAATAAATCAAGATCAATATAACACAAACAAATAAAAAATTTCATAAATATATTATATCTTAAATATGATTTAAACATGAAAAAATAACACAGGAATGGCCAAGCAGCAAGCAGCAACTCAAATCACAAAATCCACAGCTTAGCATCTAGGCGTTGCTTCGGTCTTACAAACAGGGCATGTATTTTTATGCACCAACCACTGCTTTATACATTCAATGTGGAAACTGTGTCCACAACATAGCTTTCCCATCTCTTCATCGTCTTCCTCCTAATCCAATCATTCCAAGTGTGAATAAACAGAAAATGATTATGGAATCAGAACGCGATTCAATCGTCAAACTCACCTGGCAAATGATGCACTTGTTTCCCATAATCGACCCCTTCATCTTTCTCAGGCATCTGCTCATCTCGTCTTCTTTCAATCCCGTGTTGACATAACCGATTTTGTCACCGAGCTCCAGTAGTTGCTGTTTTGCAGCAGGGAAATCAATGTTTGTTTCTTTAAAGAAATAGAATCATACGATTTAACAAGATCAAGACACAACATAACATACCTCATACGACATGCTATCGATATCAAGCCTCCACTCACTGAATCGATCACGTGCCCCCATTATCAAGTTGTTCTGTAGCATCATCATCATCTACACCAGATATAAGCATTTTTTTAACATGGTCCATATGGAATAAGATTGAACAGTTTTCTTTGTGCTAGTAAAAGAATCACAGGATAGTAAACTCCTGAGAATGAAAAAGCTGTGCACTTAAACAATATTGCATAACCGATATTCACTTGAAATTCTTATAGCTGCAGCCGCACAAAATATGTACAGTACCTCAGCAAGCCCCTCCGGAGAAGGATGTCGAGCATGGTGATAGGATCTACCTCCAAAGAAATCGGGTTTAGGAAGCGACGAGATGAAGGCCGAATCAGAATCAAGAAAGGAAAGTGTTTCGGGATTTACAGTCCGCCTTGCTGTGCAAGAAGGCTGTCAACATTTATGAAACAAAATCAGCAAGCATAATAACAAAGTTATGTCATAAATTATAATGTAGAAGAACATTGATCATGCTGAAAGGAGAAAACAAAATCAGTTACATGAACATTCACATGCTTATCAAAAGTTCTCCATAACCATCTTCTAATCTAATAGGGCCCATCAAGGGCTTTTCATCCAAAGATAAATGCTTTGCTTCAAATGCAAGGAAGGAACCAACTTAATGCAAAGAATTTATCGTTTTCATTAATCTGGGGCAATTACAAGGTAGTATTCATTCATAATCTTTGTTAGTCGTTGAAAACAGATACACATCCCTGAAGACAACTGCTCAAATCTGAAACCTTTAGGGAAAATAATTCTATCTTTTACCATTGAGGTCGTTCAATGGGTTCGATGCAAAGAATTTGTGAATGACCAAAAAATTGATATAATTAATTATCAAAAGGAGAATGAAAGTCATCTAATTAAGCATTCTCATAAGTCATAAATAATGCAACAGCATGCCAAAGATGAAAGCATCCACCTAACAAGGATGAACACAACTAAGAATCAAAAAAGGAAACAAATAGGAACAGGAAAAGACCTAATCATGGAGCCAGATCAAAACTCAAATTCAATACACAAAAATCATGGAATGACATAGATTTATATAACATAAAAGGATGATGAAAGGGGATGAAATGGATATACCTCCCTGTGGTTGAGCTTTTCAAGGTCAATCTTCCCTCTGGCAGGTACATTTCTCCTTGCCACAACACGATCCACAGAGCCAACAGCATCAGCTGACAACCCAATTCCAGGCCCGCACCAAACATCCTGAATCACCCCACAACTCATGTTATAGCCACTCCCTTCATTCAAAACCACACCTAGCTGACGGTGGTGCACCTTGTTGCTCTCGTTACCAACACGTTTACTGCTTTTCTTCTTTTTCTTCTTTACTTTCTTAGCTTCCCAATCTGCCGATGAGCGTATCAAGGCAGGCACCGACACCTGCTGCGATGCAGATGCAGTGCAGCCAAGTCCTCTGAGAGTGGACTGGCTAAAAGGGTTGGATTTCTTCTTGGTTGTTTCATTGTCGGTGGGGAGGAACAGAGAGGAAACGACAGATTTAGAACGAGTGGACTGCATTAGTGATGGGATTTCCGACACTGGGTCTGGACTGGTTTGGCTTCTGGTTGGCCTCCTTAGTTTTAGATGTTCCGCCATTGTTGAAGATGAAGAAGCAGAGGTTTCTGTAAGAAAAAACGACATGGCTATTATTGATGAAAAAACACCAGACTTTTGGATTAGGGAAAGAGAGAGAGAGGTTGAAGATGGACCGACTTGAACATTTTCTGCAGGTTGCAGCACAGATTTGTATTTATTTATTGGGAAAATTCCTTTTCTTTAATAGCAGGAGTCTTTTATGTGAGGCTATAAGATTGTCTTGTATTTGGAATTTGTAGGGATTTAGCTTTCAAGCAGAGTCCATTGGAATCTGTAAAATGTAAGCAAAGCTTTGTTTTTTTAGGTGAGGAGATAGGGAACATAGTCCTCAAAAAGTCAGAGATGGCAGGGGCCTACAAAGAACAATTAAAAGGTTAAATAAAGATGAAGATGGAGTAATCAAAGCAGATGGAGTTGATTAAGTCAAATAGCAGCAGCAATGAGCCATTTTCTTCACTGCAAAGCATCCTATCTTTTTCCTTTAATCACGCTTTTGATTTCAACTCCGATCAAGTATCGTATAGTATATGACCAATATTTATTGTCAATAATAATAAAATTAGTACCTATGCGTTTTTCCCGAAATATCACCTTAATTTTTTATTTTTTTCTGTCAGACATTATTTAAATTATATTTATCGATTTAATGCATTTTACAAGAAGGAGCGTTATTTACATCGCGCTTTACGTCACGTAATCGAAGTTATCAAATGTGTAAAAACTCGAGTGTTAATTTTATAAATATTTTTAAACATGTGTCAAATATATCATTAATTTATATTATAATGACATTTGTGTAAACACGTCAAATGTGCAGACACCCCCACACCATATAGTTCCCGATTATGAACCGGAGTTTTAGTGAAATAAGCATTGTGTGTAGTAGTTGAATTTATTAGTATTTTAGTGCCACAAGTTTATTTTTTTATAAAAATAAATTTTGTATAATTTTAAAAATTATAAATTTCATATATTTTGAAAAAAATATTTTTTTAAAAAAATTAATTGTTTAAAAAGTATAAAAATATTAATATAAACATTTAATTACAATTAAGGGATTAAATGAATTATTATTCATTAATTTTTATTTTTTAACAATAATTAATAATGTTTATTCATTTTTAATAAAATTATTTTGGTTTTTGCATTAAAATTACACAATACGTATAATTTAGTATAATAAAACTTTGAGGATAAATATTTTAAAATATGAATAATTTTATAAAAGTTTTATAGCTAGTATTTCTTTTACAAAATGATGATGATGATAATAATAAATATTTTATAATTTTAAAAATTATAAATTTCATATATTTTTGAAAAAAAATATTACCTTTTAAAATTAATTGTTTAAAAATATAAAAAATATTAAAATAAACTTTTAATTACAATTGAGGGATCAAATGAATTATTATTCATTAATTTTTAATTTTTAACGACAGTTAATAATGTTTAATCATTTTTAATAAAACTATTTAAATTTTTGCATTAAAATTACACGATACATATAATCTAGTATATAAAAACTTTGAGGGTAAGTATTTTAAAATATGAATAATTTTATAAAAGTTTTATAATTAGTATTTCTTTTAGAAAATGATGATGATGATGATAACTATTTTATAATTTAAAAAATTATAAATTTCATATATTTTTTAAAAAATTATTGCATTTTAAAATTAATTATTTAAGAATATAAAAAATATTAAAATAAACTTTTAATTACAATTGAGGAATCAAATGAATTATTATTCAATAATTTTTTCAAAATATATAATTTTTAAAATTATAAAAAAATATTATTATAAAAATAAACTTGTGACACTAAAATACTAATAAACTCAACCACTATACACACTCTCCACTTCATTAACTTGTGACAAAACCCTATCGAGTTTACAACCTGGAATCGTGCGGTGTGGGGGTGTCTGCACAATTCAAAATCCTGACGTTTTTACACAAATGTCACCATAATTGAAATTAATGACATATTTGGCACCCGTTTAAAAATATTTACAAAATTAACATACATGTATTTTACACATTTGGTAAGGCGCGCCTTCGACCACGTGACGTAAAGCGCGGTGCAGGGGGCGCGTCTTCCTGCAAAGGGTGTTAGATCGAGAAATATAGTCTGAACGATGTCTGACAGAGAAATATATAGGGTTAGGGTGATATTTCAGAAAATACGCCTAGTACCTCATCATTTTTCCCTTGAATTTTATTTATTTGATGTGAATATTAATTTTAATGTTAGTTGTTTATAGTTAATAATTATTAGTTTTTTATTTTTTTTCTTGAGTTTTTTCTTAATTATGAATAAGATTTTTTGTCTTTATGATATTTTTTTTACTCTTGTGTTACGATTTTTATTTTATTTTTTTACTTTTTTCATATATATTTTGTGGTCGTTTTGGTGCTCGCACAAAAACTCTCACGATATTTATTTTCTAATTAGTTTGTCAGTTATCACATATAATCATGTTACTTCTTTGGTAAAACGTTATTTGTCGATATAATCAAAATTGTGCAACGAAGCAAGCAGTCATATGATTTAGTTCGTTCGCCACTCTTTTATCACTTCGTAAATATTTTGTTAGATAGAGAGAGAGTTTTTATGAAAGTTACTGGATTGTTTTTATGTTGGTCATCCTTCTCAGAGAATATTTTCATTTTTATTCTTATCTTTAGATTTAATAATTTTGTTTTTGTATTAACTTTTTATGACTATTATTCACATTTTTATTTTTATAATTGACTGCGTTGTAATTATGACTTCTTTCATTTTTTGTTAATGAAATTCAATTATAATTGTTTTAAGATACTTCATTTAAAGTGATGACACCATTAATTAATAACTAATCAAGGTAAAATCTTAAAACATAAAAAGCAACCAAAAACAATAATAATATATGTTAATTATTAATCAACTAATGAATTTTATCAATCGTAAATTATTTTAATTAAGTTAAAATATTTTAAAAAACTAAAAAAATAAAATAATCATTTGTAGAAATGTTTGAGAACTTATTTTTTCATTATACATATTTCTTAATATATTTCTACCAACAACAAGAGCAGCATAAAAAAGGTTTAGCGTATTGGTGAGAGAAAATAACCCATGAGCTTTTTTTCTGAATAGGATTCTTCATTCAATTTTCCATTTTGGAAATTACCTTTTTCCCTACTATTCTATAATTGAAAGGTTAAAGTACTTCTTTAATATTTTACACATTTCTTGTATTTTTATTTTTATTTGAGTTTTTTTAATTTATTTTTATTTGCATACCTCGTGTTAAATTTGATTACTGATTAAACAGAAATGATGATATAATAATAATTGTAGTCCATAAAAATTACATATTTTATCGAATTAGTTCTAATTTAAAATAATTTAATAAATCTTTAATATTTAAAAACCATATAATTTAGTTTTTATTTCATTTTGAAATAATTTAATAACTTATTAATAAAATTAATTTAATAATATATTTTAAATATTAAATATTTATTGAATTATTTTAAATTTTTGGTAAAATATATTAATTTTAAAACTAAAATTATTATTATATCAAACTACATCATCATTTCTATCAAGTTAATAATTAGATTTAATAACCAATATTAAAATATAATATAATATTAAATATGATTTTAAGAAAATAATTAAATTCTTAAATTAATAATGTGAGAATAAATAAAATACATAGATAATTTCCTCTAGAAAAAATATAGGGTAAACTAAGTATTCGATCACCAAGTATCATTTTAATTTTGTTTTGATAATCTAACTATTATTTTTTAAATCATACTTAAAATTATATTTTGATTTTGTTTCAGTAGTACATTGTTAAATATTAACATTGATATTAACATATCACCGTAAAATAATACCACAATGTCATTCAAAAAAATATCACGCAAATACTTTTGTTTATTTTTTTAAAAATAAAATTAAAAGGTAATATTAAAAAATAATTAAATAATTAAAATAAAATTAGAATAATAGTTAATAACTAAATATATAATTTTTGTAAAAGAAATGACGTGTGTCACTGTCATTGCTCAGCTTATATGTGCAGTGCATGGTATGGACACCATCAATACATTAATTACATACGACAACAACCACTAATTAATATTTGCCCCTCGATGTCATTTTAACATCATTCTCAAAACTTTTTATATATAACGGATTTTAGTAAAATTATTAAAAATTATATTCTCAAGATAAAATAAAAAAAATAAAAATTTAATTACAATCATTTAATCAAATAGATTGAGATATTAAATTTATTAAACAAAAAATAAATAAATTAGATTAAAAGGATAAACTTCATAATAAATTTTCATAAAATCTAATTTTAAAAAAATAACAGTGAAGGGGAGGTAAGTTGCAGAGAGGGGTCTTGTCTTTAGCATTGGGGATGGATACGAAACGAAAGAGACATCAGACAAGAGGAGAAGCAGTGTTACAGTTGTCACAACCTCATCTTCGAAACTAGAGCCATAGCCATAAGACTTCATACCAAAACGGCACCGAGTTGTTGAGTATCACCCAACGGCTTCAATTGGACTCAGCTAGGGCAGTTGAGTCGAGACATGACCCATATCAACCCTACCTTTGAATTTACTTTCACACCTATCAGACTTTGCTTAATTTCTATTTGATTTCTTGCCATCTAATTGACACCAAAATATTATTATCATTTTTTATTATTGTCTCATCTCCTCAAAGATCTTCCGTACATGTCATCATTTATCGTTAAATTTTCACTACCTCAACACTCTGAAAAATATAGAAAAACGTGTCTACAAAATCGAATTGTTAGCATCTCAAATTAATATGATGGACTCGCATGTAAAAATTAAATTTATCGTCACCTAATTACATTCATTTATCCTATTCACATAATTATATTTATTTATTCTAAAAAATTCTAAATAGTTATTATAATCTTACAATTAATATACACATTAAAAATCGAGAAACGAATGCGACCTCAATAAAATCTCATCACTTAGATTCTCTTCTATACCTCCCAATGGAGATTGAGAACTTCAACATCAACCAATAGTTTATCTTTCAACATCGATCAACAATTTATCTTACTAC